CCTCAAGATCAATGTGGCAAAAGCTCCATAAAATCCTTCAGTGACACAGACCTGAGTCCAAAGAATGGAGAACAGATATTAGGAGTGAGGTTTGCTTTTAAAAGTTAACTACACTCATCGAGTATTTCCTAGGAATTTGAGAATTTCTTAGTCTCTTTGCTTTTTTTTTTTTTCTTTTTGTATCAGAGGGATTAACAGGCAACTTTGTTTACAGGCAGTGGAGACTTAAATCAAAAAAGAAAAAAAGAAAAATTAACATCTTTCAGGAAAGCTATTATGCCCATTGTTAAGGATTGTATTCTTTCTTACCAAAGAAATAGAGATTTTCCAACTTTAAATTTTAATAGCTTTTACTGGTCTCTCCTACATCAAAAGTAATACAGGTTCAGTGTAGAAAAATTTTAAAACATGGACAAGGAAAAGAAATCTAAGGACATTCAAAATCCCATCAACAAGAGATACCATTGTTAAAATTTATATGTACATCATATGCTTTTAGACTTTTGTATTTTTAAAAATAAAAGTGGGTTCAATGTACATGTTTTTTTTTTTTTTTTCCTTTTTGTCTTTTTTCGTGTCCGGCAACGGATCGCAACCCTCAGTGTCGCGCCCATACCGGACCAGGACCGGCAACGGGATCGCAACCCCCGGCGCCGCGTCCGCACCTCGCTCAGCCAGTGAGCAGGAACCGGTCTGCATGTGGGATCTGAACCCTCAGCGCCGCATCCGCACCTCGCTCAGCCAGTGAGCAGGAACCGGTCTGCATGTGGGATCTGAACCCTCGGCGGGAGCGCCGCCGCGCTCCCAAGCGGCGCACTATAGCAGTGCGCCACCGGGCCGGCCCTCAATGTACATGTTATTTAATGTGCTTTTTTCATCTGAGGATGTATGTCTTCACAGGTGATTAAGTATTCTTCTCCAACATTCATTTTAATGTTTGCATAGTATTCTATTGTAGGGACTTAATAGAGTTTACCCTGTTGTGTGTCACTTATGTTATTTCCCAATTTTTCATTACTATAAAAATGCCCTTGGATCTGTTATTTTTGGCACATTCAGGATTATCTCCTTGGGATTAATTTCTGGAGATTAAATTAGTAGGTCAAAGGATATGCACATTTTAAAATATTTTGATGTGTATTGCTGTAGTCCCTCCAGAGAAGTTAATTCTCCCCTCAGAAAAGGAAGAGTAAATATTTTATTATCTTGTTATATTTTCTTAATCTTTATCAGTTTACTAAGTGGAAAATAACATATTTTGGTGGTTTTAATGAATATTTTATTACTAATGAACTTGAGTGTTTCTATATGGGTCTCGGTTATTTTCATTTTTCCTTTTGTGACTTTACTTTTTGTGTCCTTTACACATTCTTCTATTGGGGTGTTCTCCTTTTTCTAATTAATTTGTTAAAATGCATTAGCTATTGAGGATATGAACATATCTAAATAACTATTGCAAATATTTTTCTTATTATCTCATTTGTTTTTTTGTGCGTGTATTAACAGAAGTTTTCTATTATGCAGCAAATCTATCTTGTGAACCTCTATTTAGGCTTTGGGGTTGAAAGGATTATACGAATTATATAACCTTCCTAATTTTTCTACTAGCGCTTTTAAAACTTTGTTTTTATGCATAACTCTTTAATCTACTTAGATTTACTTTGATATTTAACATGAGGAAGTACTCTAAATTTAGTCTCCAAATGGTTAGTGTATTTTTCCATGCATTTATTGCTCCACTAATATAAAATGTCACCTTTATTAAGTATTAATTCTCATATATACCCCGGTCTGTTTCTGGACTCCGTTTTGCTCCAAAGATTTGTCTGCCTATTTCTGTGCTAGCATAACACTGATTTCATTGATGTAGATTTATTATAATTTTGATATCACTTCATATAAATGCCTGCCTTAAAAAGATTTTTTTTAGGGCCGGCCCGGTGGCGCACTGCTACAGTGCGCCGCTTGGGAGTGCGGCGGCGCTCCCGCCGAGGGTTCGGATCCCACATACAGACCGGCCGCTCACTGGCTGAGCGAGGTGTGGGCGCAACACCGAGGGTTGTGATCCCGTTGCCGTTGCCGGTCCCGGTCCGGTGCGGGCGCGACACTGAGGGTTGCGATCTGTTGCCGGTCACGAAAAAAGACAAAAAGGAAAAAAAAAAAGATTTTTTTTAAACAAAACTTTCTGGATCTTATAGTGTTGTTTTTTGAAACACATAAACATAGACATTGGGTTTGATAAAATACACTAATTACAATTCCTTTTAGGATTTTTATTATAGTTGTATTCAATTTTAAATTAATTTGGATGTAATTTGGTATTTTAATAAAATGTAAAAAAATATTTTAAATGGGTGTGTGTTTATCCAACTCTGCAACAAGTCTTTTATGTCACTTAGTAAAGCGTGGGGTGACTCCTTATCCATTGAGAGGCAATCATATTTGATCTGATGAGCCCCACCTTAGGTTGAGATCTGTTATAAGAAAAACAGTATTTGTAAAAGTGAGTCATGCTGCATATAAATGGAATTGAATGTGTGTGAGAATGCCTAATTCACATTATAAAACCTCCTCTGTCGTGGTATACGAGGGGAGACACAGCTATCACAGACACAGAAACCAAGAGGCCCTTCTGGGGCATGGATCACGTACTTTAGCAGAGATTGGACTGCAGTCAGAATTAGGATCTCCTGAGTCTCAGATGGTTTTTTGGCTTCTAATTCTACGCCTTAGAGAACGGGGAGAGTTGTTTTTTGTTTTTCTGTTTCATTGCTGCTAAAACCAAAGGCTAGAAGGGGAGATTTTTGCTTGGAACTATGAATAAGACCCACTTGTAACCCTTAACTCTGTATCCTCTCTCATTTTAGTGAATTAGCCCAATTTCTTATTCATTTACATCTTCAAGTATTACATGAGATTCTTCCGGGACCCTATCCTACTTTCCAGTTTGTTTTCTTTTTATTCATGTTACTTGAGGAAAGACAGAGATGTACTCAGATGCTTCCCTCTGCATCGCTCTTTGTCAGGACTACCTAAAAATAACTTTTGAGAGAAAACTCTTGTTTTGAAGTCTTTGGTTTGTAGTTCTGCCATAAAAGACATCGTACTAGAGGTGTGCTGTGTGATCGCTTTATGCATGCGATTGAGTGAGCACAGCCCAAAGTATATTTTTATAGGACAGGACATCAGAACATCTGACCTTCAATTCACCTTGTACTTCGTCTTTCAATTATGAGTCCCGCTCATGACCTCGCTTTCAAACTTTACTTCACGGGGTAGCTGTTTTCCTGCAGATATGAAGCAGGAGTTTGCATGGCCAGCCTTTATCCTGGGCTTTGCCATCAGACATCAACAATTCTTTCACCAAGCCAAGCAACTTGGACAGTTCAGAATTCTAGGAATTATACTAAAATGAGTCACTAAAACTTGACCTTAGACTATAAGGGGCTATATCTAAGATTGTTTTTTCCCTTGTGAACTCTAGTTTATCCCTTTCTCAAGCAAGTTGAACATAGAAGATGAAATTATTTTCTTACATGATGTGACTCGGTGGAGTATCCCACATTAAGAGGTGGGGCACTCCACTGTGTAAATTGCCTTTATTTTTCTTGGAAATTATAACGCTTAGCTTTTGGCTTCCCATAACTCATTTTAATGTTAATATCATGACTACTGGTGTTTTCTTCTAAACATTATGTTGGGGGAGGCAGACTTGCAGCTTTATTTCCTAGGAGCACTGAAAATACAGGGAGAGGGAGGCAATCTTCTAAATGTGAATAAACTTTTACACTTAATGAGGATGTGGCATCTCAGAGAAGATGTTAACCCTGCAGATCAAACCTCCGGAGCCCTGGGAGTTGCCAGGCAGGTGGCAGGAACAGGGCTCCCAGACAGGACTTGTTTTTAGGGTGAAAAAGAGGTTTCCTTTGCTGGGTAGATTTGATTTTTTCAGGCACGTTTGTCTTGGTCTTCTCCTCTTTCCAGGCTTCTACTCATGAACCGAGACCTCTCTCAACATCACCTCCCGCCGATGCCTTCCCGATGCTCCCAGACAGGAGGGCAAACCGTGTCTCCTCAGCATCGTGGGTGTTGTGCTAATAGGGTCGTTACCAGCTTAGCTGTTTGATGTGCTATTCTTGCCTCTGAACGGGGTGGGAATTTTGTCTTGTGTAACTTATTCTTAATCTCTGGCATCTGGAACATTGCTTGGAAATTAATAATTGCTCCATAAATGAATGTCCCCATGTGCATATTGAGGACAGATCTGAATGTCTCGGTGAGTCCCCTTGCTAAAAGAGGATTGTGTGTTTGCTTTCCAGTTATGTCGTCGAGTCCCACCGTTGGATCTTCCAGTACATCCTCCATCCTCCCGTTTTCCTCTTCGGTATTTCCTGCTGTCAAGCAGAAGAGTGCCTTTGCCCCTGTCATCAGGCCCCAAGGCTCACCTTCACCTGCCTGCTCCAGTGGCAATGGAAACGGATTCAGAGGTAAGTGGAGGTACCACCTTGGGAGTGAGCACGATCCCTGTGCCACAGGCCCAGCAGAGTAAGAGTGGTGGTGCATGCTTTTATAGCTCTGGCCATCTGCCTGCAAAGAGGTGCTTTGGTGTTTTCATCATGGGACATGGATGGCTTATCCCACGGGGCTAGTGCTCCACCTAAAAGCAAGATGGGAGAATTACTTTGTGGGGTAGCTGTGCAGGGCACAGAATTAACAGTGGTAAAGCCATACGACACTCGCGGAGTGTTTGGACTCCCCATTCCTTTGTGTCCACAAAGCCATTCCACTGTTTCTCAGAAGGAGCCTGCTCACCCTGCAGGATGCCACATGTGGTAACTGCTCACCTGGCTGCTCACACAGTCCACAGCCACGTGGACAGGTCCACAGGGCCACCAGTGAGTTCTGAGCATTCTGGTTACACGTTTGCCAAATGGACAGCAGGTGCCTGCTCAGGGGAGGGGTGGGGAAGACAGAGAAAAAGGCCTTCTGTGGCTAAGAGCAAAAATTAATATCACCTGTCAAAGCCATTTCTGAGCAATGTCCTACAACAGAATGTGACATGACGTAACACGAAGGTGGTGAGTACAGGAGCATCTGAGCGTCTCACCATGTGTGGGAGTGGCTGACAGCGGAAGAGCAGGTCGGGAACTGCTGGGCACAAGGCTCCCCAGCGACCCATGTTATGTTAGGCTGCTCCTCGCATCTGGACATGAAAACATTCATGACAAGCAGGGTTGGATAAGACCAAAAAGGGCAGAGGTCCGGTTAACCCTTCATGGACCAGAGCCTCTGAGGTCAGAGAGCTTGCTGGGCAGCTCTGGATGGGCTGTGCTGTCCTGGGGCGGCACCTGACTGGTAGCTTGATAATAATGTATGGGTTCCTAATCCTTTGCGGACACCTGCGAGGGGTCACTATCCAGTGGTGGTTGTGCAGACCTCTGGGAGGTGTATTAGGTTCCTGTTCCATCCTACCACTAGAGATGATGGCATCTCCTCCAAGTCAAGTGACTTGACAGAGACACTGTTAAAACCAGAACCCAACACTCAAAGGAGTCGCTGAAAATTCTTTTACTTCTAGCTAGACAAAGCATCTGGATCTACATGCCTCCCAACATGTGGGTCATTGGAAACATCTCTATATTTGATAGAACTTTTTTTTTCGTTTCCATCCAGATGTTTAATCCACCTGCCCTGTCACTCGTCAAAGACTAGTGGTTTCCACCCCCTGTTAGGGGCCTGCTCAGAACTTTTTTCTTAGTGGCTTCATCTCCAGACAGGCAGTAATGATGTTACCTCCTCTTTCTAAGTTCTCTGGTTTTTTTCATGGACCTTAAACCAAGTGGTGGCCAAACAAGTGTCATGGGGAGAATGTGGAGTGAGAGGGACAGGAAAGACCAAGACTAAGGACGATACTCCTCCACATTGGCATGGGAGGAAGACAGGAAGGACTTGGCCCTTTCCTCCTTTCTGGAAATTCAGCAAATATGTTCAGCTTTACTTTAAGGAAAACAGTCCTCCTCCTCCTCCACCTGCCACGCCTCTCACCTCCTCCCTTGCAGTGCACTGAATTTGGGGAAGCAGATCTGGGTGTCTCAGATCTTCCCTGTCTGTTCTGGCCAGGGAGACTCACTCATAGAGTCTGCCTGGCTCCCAGTCTACAGGGACACCAGGACAGATTTTGCAGCGGCTCCCCCGGCCTGCAGTCCCCACCCTGCCTCTTGGTACGTACCCAAGACTCCCTGCCGTGTTACTGAAAGGGGAGAAAGAAAAGGAAACAAATACGTGTCAGTGTAAGGTTGTAGCCTAAGAAAAAATTGCAGAGAACTATGAAACTGTGAAGTGGTGTGTAGAGAAATAGAACTTCCAGGGGAGCCCTTGGAAGAACGCTAGACTCGACTTCACCTGGCGTGTGCTGGGGTTCTAGCTCTGCGCTTTCTAGCCGTGTGAATCCGTGCAAGCCATTGGCATCTCAGAGCCTCAGTTTTCTAGTCTGTTAGATGGGAAAGTTGGTAGCCATCGCCAGAGGTCGTGAATGAACTGTGTGAAGAACTGAGCGAGGTACAGGACATCTCACCCGGCCTGGCTGGGAGAAGGCTGAGCTGACAGCTTCTGAGCTCTGGCCTCCTGCTCGTCCCCATTTGGGACCAGGTGAATGGAAGTCACTGTCCAGCGTTGGGAGGTGCCCCAGAGACACACACACAGGGAAACCGAGCGGACACTTCATGCATTATTCACAGTCACTGGATGAAGGAATCCTGGCGTCAGGGCCTGAGGAGCTCCATCTCTTTACAGACGGGCCATGGAAGGGTGGAAGTATGTTGAGGTATCTGGCTGCTCGCAGGCCGAAGAGAGGCTCTTCTCTAGACTGTTGGAAGGTGAGGTGGCCCTCATCGTGTTCAGAGGGCACGTGCACCCAACACTACTGAGCTGAGTGCTTTACATGAATCACCTGCTTCAAGTCATGCCATTGTCACCGTTTCCAGTTAAGCGGATTGCCCAAGGCCACATGACATCTCACTGATGACTTGGACCCAGAGGCCTGGGCGTCAGAGCCTGTGCTCTGAGAGTCTCCAGGGACAATGATAGTGAAATTCTGCCACTCTTCCCCCTTCAGCTATTCCTACTTGTCCCCAGGACCAAGGGGTGATGGCTGCTTTCCCATGAAATGCCAAGGGTAATATGCAATTAAATGGTCAAAGTGCAGTTAAGCATCCCTCTCCCCCAGTGAAAATGCTTGCCTTTTCTCCAGTTAATGTCTGCTTTCTTTCCATCTCTTGGCCATGGTTTCTATGAGCAGAATATCCCGGCCACCATCTAGCAGACATGCAGCCCACCCTGTGCAGAAAGCAGATCTAGAAAGAAGGGAAATAGCCGAAATCTGTTGTTCTCTGGCAGGTGGGGGTCTTGTTCTTTGAGCAGCTCTGCCCTTCCAGAAGATCCTTAGAAAGGGGTTGAGGAGTTTTAAATGTCATGGACAAGTTAAAGTTGAGATCATGAATCAGAATTCTACTGCCAGAGAGTGATACGTGCGGCAGTCCTCGTCCCACCGGCTATCTCATTTATCAGGCATTTACCATTGATGAATATAGATTATCAAGATAATATTATACACTGTGTGTCTGATTTATTTTCCAGCTCCCTCCAGGAAAAAAAAAATTTTTTTAAAAATAAAAAAAAAACAATCCTTCTACATGCTGGGATAATTACTAGGGCTGCTATATCTCCAAATCATCAGGGAGTGTCCAGAATTGAACCGCCTTTATTGAAAAGTTACATCGATTCAATATATAGTAATACAGGCAAAAATAATTAAGGCCTTGCTAGCTGTGTAAGACCTTAATCCAGATCTCACAAACATTCAATAAAGGCTGTATAGGCAGGGAAATAGATGGCTGACAATTTTGCCCGAGAGGACTAGCTGGTGTGGAGAAAAGGGGAAGAAAGAGAGATGGGTTGAAGGAAGCAGAGAGAATATTGGCCATTTGCTTGTAAGCTTAGTAAGCACTATTTTTAGTGAGCAGAACACTTCTTCTATGATATTTGATGCAATGCAGACAGTAAAACTGAAAGAATCAAATTCCAGATATGGTTTGAAGTTTTGATGCAAGGAAACTATCCTGCCATTTTCCAAGGATGTGAAAATTCTATAGGCTCATCATCTGAAATCTGAGACCAGAGGAACATGTTTTGCTGTGTGATTTTTCCACATTGTGCTGGAGCTGCTTAATTTCCCATATCAAGGGAACTTGGACGTGATTCCACCCAGGCAGGCACTGTCCGCCTCCTCATGACTAGATGGAGGGGGCATTGGTTGCCACACTTGGGTAGGGGTTGAAGAGTGGGGAATGGGGTGACTTCCAAATTAGGAACTAAATCAAGTCNAAATAAATGACTTTAATATGACTTTTTTTTTGTTCCTTTTTGTCTTTTTTCATGACTGGTAATGGGATTGCAACCCTCGGTGTCCTGCCCGCACAATGCTCAACCAGTGAGTGGACCAGTCTCTATATGGGATCCGAAACCCCGGCGGGAGTGCCGCCGCGCTCCCAAGCATTGCACTCTACCGAGTGCGCCACCAGGCCGGCCCTTAATATGACTTTTTAAGGGAAAAAAGATCTACTTTCCATCCAGACTTATTTAGATTGCCAGTAAGGATGTCATTTTTTTTCCAGGTCAGGATTCCCCTTGTAGACTTGTTGGCATCACAGTATAGTCTATACACAGACTAGGTTCTGGGTTTATGGTTGAGATTCTAACATTAGAAATGGATACAGCCATCATGGAAAACATCCTTAGTTCATGTGAGCCCATTTGAGAGGACTTCACTACATCTGCATCCCTTCACTTGGTCTCATTGTTATGTACCCACACCTATCCAGCCCCAACTATCTAATCCATTCTGGAATTACCCAATATGACCCATATTATTTCTACAAACATGAGAATCCAAGGTTTTAGAAACCTGGCGTGCCTCTAACTATGGCTGACAGTCCCTTGTAGTCCGGGCTTAAAGCTCCAAAGTACACAGAAATACATGAGGAGAAGATCCTCAGTGAAAGGTCTGGTGGAGGGGGCAGAGCGTGTGAAGGACCAATGAACATCACTGTCCGAAAGCAGAGGCAGAACTAAGTGACGCGTGTTTAGAACTGGAGTGGAGCCAATCCAACAGAAGGAAACGTTTTTTTAAGTAGCATCGCTTTTAGAATCTGTGAATTCTGCTCTTGTGTGAAGACGAGTGCAGAACTGTCTTCAAGATGATTGTAGAATTTGTGGGTAGCTTTACACCGAAAAATGTGTGTAACTAAATACCAGGCATCCTTGACCAATCAGCTAGAACCTTGGCAGCAACAGATCTATTTAATTGTACAAATGTGTGTAAGGATTATTTTTTAGTGGACTAATAAATTAAAAACAAAGCTACTCTGTCCTCTTTAGTCATTGAACCATTCCCGTTCCAGGTTATTTTTGTGCCACTTGGAATATGAGT